CTAGCCTAATTCAACTCCATGGTCTACTAACCCAGTACATAGTGTAACCATTCTCTTTTGGTATAGTTCTTTGTTGAATTGTGTGTATTTCTATTGAAAATTGATGTATTTGTGTTCATTTCTGGACTACCTGGCTGTATGCTTGGATAAGGGTCTGGTATGAATTGAGTCCATAAGAGGCCCAAAGGGCTTGGTAAGGATTGGGGAGGGGAGACCCCACGCCATTATTTTTTAATGTTACTGAAAGGCAACTAACACAGATCACAGCCAAAAAAGGAATGTACAGTACATGTGTTTCTGGTGCATCTCCATTGAAATCTGTGGTACATCGCAGCAAAGTACTACAGGACCCTTTTTCAAACTCACGCCATGCTGAGTTAAAGGGGTACCATTGAAAACAATGTGATTTCCATTGTCATGCAATTCTGTGCAACTGATACCAACATATACACCCTAAAAATTGACCTCCCCTCCTAAAGTCAGTGCCCCAGGAGGTGTATGGGACATGAACTGTCAAAACCCTATGAGTGACTGTTCTCCAGTCATGGAGTGGTCTATGCTGCATTAAGAGAGAACTCTGTAGGACACTGCAGTTTCTTCACCACAGCCTGCATTTCAAGAATAGGAGAAAAAAGCAGGCCATGGTGTGGACAAACAATGAGGTATATAGCAGAGAGCAGACAGCGAATTCCCCTCTCTGTTATAAATGGAGCTCAGAATAGCTATTTCTTTGAATGGCAGCTAGTTTTACCCAGGTCCCCCTGGTGATAACAATGACATCATGTCCAAGACAGTGTGGCACCACTAAAGACCATGTCATTTGTTTTTCTGCACCATAAAAATACTTTGTACGGACTCTGCAAGTCTGAATTCTAGACATTCACATGGTAAATCCCATGCTGGTCAGCTACAAATAGCATGGGACCCTCTGTCATGCTATGCAGCGTCACACACATCCTATTGCCGTCGGAAGTGATCAGATTTAGAAGCTGGGAAAGAAGGAGTTATTAATAAAAACCACTCTGTGATAGCTCCAACAGAACAGAGAATTACTGCATGGTACAAGGCAGCCAAGTGTTTCTTCAGGTTTAGGAGTCTAAGAAGATATTGTTACATCAGTGAATCCATTTTGATTTAAATTTTTCCAGAACAGTGATTGACTATACTGTAGATGCCTTTTTATCTATTTACCCAATATTGAAGTCAGATGAAATACATATTTTCAAAATAAATAGCATTTAAAAATATATATTTATAGTTTACAAATGCATTTGGTTAACAGATGTTAACCTAAAATATGAGGTATTTCTTGTCATATGAAGGTATTCTTCTGTAACTGTGTATTATCTGGTTATTTACAATGCATATTAATTTTTTATTCTTGTGAAAAAGCTAATTTGTGCATTTCCCTTTAGGGCAGGATTGGTCCACCTGGTGTTCCGGGAATGCCAGGTCCTATAGGACCAATGGGACTTAAGGTATGCACTGTTTAAATATCATTGTGTCCATAATATTGGTAAATTTCTAAATATTCAAGTCTTCTTATCAGTAAAAAAATCCACTTTCCTATCCTATCTTGTCATATTTACTGTCCAGAGGAAACTGGTTACCAGCAGTAAGAACTTTTACCTTCAGTGCATTCTTCATAAACAAATATACAATAGGAACTGATTTATACACAATAAATTATTATTATTACATCACTATCACTGCTGCATCGCTTCAATCTCTTCTTCCTGTCACATTCACACTAAACAATAGAAAGAATTGTTGGGTTTCTCTACTAATTTGTCAAGTCCCAACTTGAAAGCTTCAGTGGTAGAAAACTAAAGATGCCAATTCTAAGTTCCAAAGCTCCAGATATAATGGATTCCTCTAGTATAATTTACAATAAACATTGTTATAAATTTGTTTAGCCTAAAGCCCAACTCCAGGAATTCTAAAAAAATCTACCCTTGCAGCAAGACCTCCCTGCATTGCAAGGGTTAAATGCTCATGTCTAGGGGTGCTGGAATGAGAGGAAATACTTACCTTATTCCATGCCTCAGCAGGGTCATATTGTATGTAATACCAAGGAATCCACATACTGGAGCATTGGGGAGAAGGGGACAGCAGTGGGTCCAGCCAGGATATGGATAGGGTAAATAATCCTGCCTTTTCCTGCACCCCTAGACATAACAAGCATTCAACCCTTCCAGTGCAGGAAGGGTAGGGGAGTGTACTGCAAGTGTAGAATTTCTAATTCCTGGATTTAAGAACGTATGTTTTATTGTTGCAGTTCTAATTTTTTTGTTTTGTATTATTAACATGGGTTCCCTTTTAAAGTTGTACTGTAGCCAGACTTACACTATGTATATTTCTTTCTTTTTTTCAGGATTTTATTCATTTTAAATGAACAATGGTGCACAAAGTTACAGAAATAGAATAGTACAAACATACGTTAACATTAAAGCGCAGTTCCACTCATGCTGTCAAAAAATAAAAGTCAGCAGCTACAAAAACTGTAGCTGCTGACTTTTAAAAAAACAGCCACTTACCAGTCCTGTGGTGTGTCCCCTGCACTCCGCTTCACCGGCCGTCATGTATTCCAGGAGGCTGGCATCTTCAGCATGGGCACCCAGCTGTGATATCTTGCGGCCTCACAGCCGGGTACCAACTGCGCATGCGCGAGTAGCGCTGCGCTTCATGATTGGTCCTGTAGTCTTCTGGGACCTGTCACGTGTCCCAAAAGACTACAGGGAGGGAGGGAGGTCACATTCTGCTTCCAATCGCCTAGGCGATCGCACTGGAAGTGGGAGAGGGTACCTGTCAAATTCGGGTACTCGCCCCCCCCACCCCCCAAAGGTGACAAAAGGTCCACTTTTGGGTGGATCTCCACTTTAAGGAAGTAGGCAAAAGGCCTCCCGTCGAGTAGCTGGAGTAAACAGAGAGGCAACGTTATAAAAATGACCATATGAGCAGCTAATCAAAGAGTGTCTTATTCCGTCCTCTCGGGTGACCAGGGGAGGCCATTCAAGAAGGTAGAACATAAGAAGAGACAAGAAACAATAATGAGCGTGTGAAGAGGTAAGAAAAGGGATCTATTAAAAAAAAGGGGGTGTGAGAAGGTAAGCGGGAGGGAGGGAAGGGGGGTACTTTTCATCACCCATGGGTTCAGGCAGAGTGGCTCTTTGTGTATTTGTTTGCCACATCGTCTAGGTAGGTGTATACTGGAATACCACAAATCTGTTGTATTCAGGAAATGTAACCAACAAGCCCATGTGCGGGTAAATCTAGTTGGTGTGCCATGTGCTATGTTAATAAGCTCCTCCATGTCGGCTGCTTGCCGGATGCGTTAAAACCACTCCCTAATGGTCGGTGGGGTTTTCAGAATTCCATTTTAGGGGGATGCAGTGTCTGGCTACATTGACTAAGTACATAGCCAGAGATCTAGAATGAACAGATTGGGGAAGAGATGAATGATGCAGGAGGTATTGTGCTGGAGTATAATCCAGGGTGTATGTGGTAATTTTGGCAATAATGTTGTGTACTCTTTTTCCAGAATGGTTGTATTTTGTGCCATTCCCGCCAAATGTGCAATAAAATGTATACTTCTAGGTTTACACATTCTTATCAAGCAGTAATTGAGCATTATAGCCCCACTCTGGATTTCTGTTAAAGTGTTACTAAACCCACAACAGTAAAATCAGTCTGTATAGGCAGCAAAACATGCTTGTTAAACTCACTGTGGAACCTAAGCTGTTAATCCTCTGTATTGTGTAAAAACTATATCCTGACTTCTCTGATAAGTTATATCGTGTGGAGTCACATTGCACATGCTCAGTTTGGTGTGTATTGCTAGAGAAGTTTTCTTTTTTTTCTTGGGAGAGTGCATGTGATGAGCACAGGGCCAATCAGCACTGTCCAGACAGAGGTCAGGGGTTATGCATCCTCCTAGAGCAGAATGAAAACTCCTTCTACAAGCTTTAACATGTGCTCTGCTAGACACTGATAAAGGTCACAAGACTGCTATATACTGCTGATGAGAAAAGGTATTGAGCAGTTTATATTTACTAAAATATTTGCACTTCCGTGTACTGTGGAAAACCAGATATAGTGAATGCAGGGTCCTGGGTTTAGTAACACTTTAAATGTACCCATGCAGTACCCCTCCCCCTGCAGAGGTTAAACTCTTGTTTGGTTAGGGGAGAAAAGGAATAAATATAAATACTTAGTTTATTCCTCACTCCTGCAGGCTTCCTTCTTTCTGTGTGATCAGTTCCCCAAAGCAAGTAACTTCACTGCCCATTTGGTCACAGCTCTCTGACATCATCAGGTACAATGCAGGACCAGCAGTCCGGCATTCTCCATTAGGCTGGTAAGGGCCTGTTCCAGAACATCAGTCAGCAGAGGAGAGCACCGGCTGCTGAGGGAGCAAGGATTGAGGAAAATATTTATACTTATTCCTTTCCCACCCTAGCCATTTAACCCATACAGTGCAGGGGGGACCACAATGTATGAGTACATTTAACAACAGCCTTGAGTTGGGCTTTAATACTAGCCCTCATTGACTTGTACAGGCACAGTGGAACAATTCATCCTCGCAAGTTCACAACAAAACCACTTTAACTTTTGATTTCATCAGCTCAGATCATTGAGTTCCTCCTCCCCCCAGTAGTGACTGCCAGCTTTACAATCTCTAACGTAAGCACAGAGCAATTGCACAGGAAGGGGGGAGCAGAGTGCAGGGGCTCAACTTGACTAATTTCACTGCATCTTCACTGTGAACTTTGAGGATGACTTGTTCCACAGAACCTACAGTATCAGAGGCCATTGAGAGCTTAAAGCGTATTTAATGCTTGTTATAAATCTATTAATATTTGAATGTCCATAACCTAGCCACAGTTCTACTTTTGGAAAGCATACATCCCAAAGTATGGGTCAGAGATTTCTAAACTCAGAATTGTGACTGAGCAGCGGACTAACCTATACTTATATAAGTGTTATTTGATACAGTTAACATGTTTTGTTGCTTTGATCCAAAGGGTGAAAAGGGAGACTCTGCATCTTTTGGCACGTCTGGCTCAAGAGGACCAATGGGCCCCAAGGTTTGTTATACCGTATATGTCTTTGTTAATATAATGGGCAGCACAATTATACATAAGCCTGAAATACAGCTCTAATCAAGTTACTGATAAAATAATCATTCTAGTTATCACTGGTAATGGAGTACCGACAATTAAGTATAGAAAGCCAATATAATTTCTGGCAGAATTTTATCAGCTTTGAAATACTTTACACTCTACCAAGTACAGTATACATTGCAAGTAAGCATGTGCTTAAATTGTCCTTGATTTGATAAATTAAACTCAATAATTGCCACAAAAACTGCATGATAGAAGGCAAAATTGAAGAGGAGAGTGAATGGATGTAGAATGCATGTATGGTACAGATAACCCTTCTTTAAATGTCTCTTTCATGGCCTAAAAAGCATCCAAGCTAACAACATTGTAGAATGACATACACCTGTACTTCGGCAATATTGTTAGACTGTTTTCAAGCCATGACAGATTCACTTTATAAGACAGCTATATCCTGAAAGTTTATCTCTGTAGATGTTCTACAAGAAAACACTTCTGTGCTTTGCAGTATGACACTGCATCTTTATTTTAGATTTTTCTTTTTGGAAATTTATGAAGTGAACTGATGCAGTGATCTGGCTTCGCTATGTTTGACATAATATATGTAGAATTTGTTGTATCTATATTATGCTAATTTGAATGCAGAATATTCAGTCAACCATAACACAGATGCAAAACATGTGCCATCCCAATTATACATTTCAAGCCAAAACAGCCATTAATATTACCATTTCAAGTGCATACCATTTGTTTCAACCAGCCTTTATGCTCTGTTGTTCTCCCATAGAAACAACTGAAAGTTAAATATCACGAATAAGTCATTTTGGGACTGAGTAAAAGGGAACAGCAATAATCTTTAGCTCTTGTATGACTTTCCCAGGGTAGCACAATGAATGTGTTGTTTTTTACAGTAGCAGTTTATTACCAGAGTTGGGACAAGATGTAACCAACAAGAGTACAAATCTTATATGTATTGGTTGAAAGAAAATTCAAGAATAATACTATGTGATATTCTGCCCCAAATCTTGTGTACAAATACTGACTACCTCTGATGGGGTTCTTTAAATCATAGGCAATCAATGGGTCTTTCTCTCTGTCTCTGATTTTTCAGTATAGCAGTAGAAACATCAAAGAACCAAGCTATCTGTAAGGTCACATTCTCAGACTTTCAGCCTGGGTTTTCCTCAATGTAACTAGTGTACAGTAGCCAAAGTTGATGTTGTATCAGCCTCTTATTATCCCCTGAATAGAAGAACTGTGGATGGGTGAAGGACATGCTTGTATTGCTTACTTACAATAGAGAAAAATCAGGTCACCAACTTGGCTCTACTATCTGGCACAGCTGTGCAAATCTCAGAATGAATCAATGTATGAACAGAAATACAAATCCTTTGGCAAGTAAGACAGCTCCTATGTACAGTATGTAGTTCAACTGTAGTCTAGATGTCTGCCTGGAGTTCAGCTGTACTATAGCTGCTATGAATGAAAAACGATCTTAAAATGGATAATGAGCGGATGAATGAAATGTCTGCCTTCTCCATTCATAGACCGCATTTCAGTCATAGAAGCCAGGCAGGTATAGTCAGAACTTTTGATGAGTGCAAATGGTCCTTTGGCTCTGTTAACCCCAGAAGATTATGGTAGTTGGGGTAGTGGGGGATTGCAGTGGTGTATTTTGGTTTTGTGCTGCCCTAGGCAAGACTAAAATTGCGCCCTCCCCAACTAAATTTGTCCCACCCCTTCCTGTTTAGGATTCACCCCCTCATCTATACACTCCACCCCTTCTACTTTAGTCTACACCTCTTCCTATTAGAGCTCCACCTAAGGAGTTGGACAGAGATTGCGGACAGGATACAGGAGACGGTCAGGGACTGCGGACAGGATACGGGAGACATCAGAGACTGTGGACAGGATACAGGAGAAGATCAGAGACTGCTGACATACTACAGGAAATGGTCAGAGACTGTGGACAGGACACAGGAGACGGTCAGAGACTGTGGACAGAGTACAGGAGACGATCAGGAACTGCGGACAGGATATGGGAGATGGTCAGAGACTGTGGACAGGATATGGGAGACGGTCAGAGACTGCTGACATACTACAGAAGATGGTCAGAGACTGTGGACAGGATACAGGAGACGGTCAGAGACTGTGGACAGGATACAGGAGACAGTCAGAGACTGTGGACAGGATACAGGAGACAGTCAGAGACTGAGAACAGGATACAGGAGAAGGTCAGAGACTGTGGACAGGATACAGGAGACGGTCAGAGACTGCGGACGGGATACAGGAGATGGTCAGAGACCAGTTGGAGAGGCCCGGTCTATACCAAGCACTATGGATGCCTACACACATTAGATGGGTGCTGCACAACCTGTTAGACCTTGAAGCCACTTGAAGAGTTAACAAGAGTCATCCCTGTGCTGGTATTATGTACACCAATTCACAAAATAAAGTACAATGAAGTAATTTCACACTTTCACACAAAATTTTCTAGTCTACAGTTTTCACCAATATAGTTAACCATCCAGCTTCTTGGAGAAGACTCACATACTACACCTCCTGGTAAAACGAGTAGAGGCTGTAGATCTTCATAGACATCATGCTCTTTATTGGCCATGGCTGACAGGTTCCCTGTCTCCTCCTCACCCGTCCTCATCCCCCCACCCATACACAGCCGAATCCACCCCCACCGCCCAAACACAGCCGAGCCTGCCCCTTCCCGCCCGAGCACACACGAGCCCACCCCCCCCCTTCCCAAACACACATGAGCACGCCCCCCCCACCTGAGCACACATGAGCACAACCCCCTTCTTTGGGAGGGTGCATATGATCAGCACAGGGCCAATCAGCACTGTGCAGACAGAGGGTCAGGGGTTATGCAGCCTCATAGGACAGTCAGAGCACAATGAAAACTCCTCCTACAAGTTTTAACCATTGCTTGGCTGGACACTGATAGAAGTCACAAGACTGCTATATACTGCTGATGAGAAAATGTATGTAGCAGTTTATATTTGTACTGTGGGAGACCAGATATAGTGAATGCAGGAGCATGGGTTTAGTAACACATTAATTGGCCAGCCCAAGATAAGGCAACTCCCATGCATGCACACATGAGTTAAATTATGCAGGCACCTAGGCATGCTGAGAAACTACACTGGACTGTGCAGAACCATTTTCGAAGAATATCATGATACTTAAGACTAGTAGGGCTAAACAAGGTGTATCCTCTTTCTTTCTGTATTTACCAGCAGCATGTTTGATATTCTGTTTCTGTTGCACATTTAGATAATTTGTCTGCCATTTCTTTAAGGGTTATCCTGGCGTTAAAGGAGAAAAGGTCAGTGCTTCTGCCTAAGTACTAACCAGAGTCTGTGCTGAATGTTAAAAGGGGAATTCCGCAGATTGCAGGATTCTGTAATAATATACTGTTATTCAGCTTTTTTGCTATTTGAACTGCTTCTGATAATCTATTCTGCCATACTGTAACTGGTGGATACATTACATGTGCACAAAGCAGGACATACAGGTATTGAGGATAAATATTGTGATGGGCATTGCTCTGTATGACCCAGCCTAGTTTATAGATTATAGCTGTCTACCTTGTTAACTCGGGTATGTCTGGCTTAATTGTTCTTTACTTGTGCTAAACACAGTATGGGGTTGATTTACTAAAGCCAAATAGACTGTGCCCTTTGCAAGTGTAGTTGCTCCAGAGTTTAGTAAATATGTTAAAGCTTCACTTTACAAAGAATACCCAATCACATGCAAAGAAAATAAAAAAAATGCATTTTTGCTTGCACATGATTGGAAGTCAGCAAAGCGTCTTCTCATTCACTGAACTCTAGAGCAACTGCACTTGAAAAGTGCACAGTCTATTTGTCTTTAGTAAATCAACCTCTATGCATATTTGAAAAGATGACATGTATATATTTTCTTTGTTTCATGTTCAAAAAATTAGATTTAATTTTTATTGGTATAACTATTTAAGAAAGTTGCATCTATTATAATGTACATAGACTTATCACAGTGAGAGATGCAAAAAGCTTATATTACAAACAAAATGTTTGGTTGCATCCATGCCCTGTTACCAGGTATACATTTTGTTAACACAAGTAATAATAGTATGAAGAGAGGGTCTTGAAAAAGTTGACTCTGTATGCGGATCTGCGTGTCCTCATGAACTATATACCAATAGTTTCCCCAAAAGTATCGATTGCCGGTTTTAGAAAAATATTGGGTTTTTCCACACGAGACTCAATGGTCCATAATCTCTCCCTGTATCAGTATAGCATATCTTATACTTAGCATTATGCTGTGGTGGAAGGTAAGAACCATAGGTATGCTTCTGGCGCAGCTTGAGGCTGACAACAGACAAAAATCACCCCGCCCCGGCAAAGAAAGGAAGATGGGAGCAGCGTCCCAAGTAACTCCAATAACTTAACAGTATTGTTGAGGATGAACACCGCTCAAACCGATCTCCAGGACTAAGAGAGGAACAGGATATAGCGGGATGGCCTCAGTTGTCACTCTGTCCACGCCCACTGATGTGTTTCGCCACGCCCACAGGGGGCTTGGTCACAGAGGCTTCTATGCTGTGGCGGAAAGTGGATATAAGTGAAAATAACATATTTAAAGAATCCATGTGGATAGTAAGGAAAAGGTAGCACTTGATCCAGAGGTTCCAGGGTTTTTGAAATGTTGTCATATTATCAAAAAAATTATATATAACAGTATAGATATATATAAACATTTTACATTGAATTCTTGCTAGATAAATATATATTAATATTTCAGATCTCTCACTTGCAGTTAGCAGGTGGTGCGCATGAGAGAACAGAGCCACCTAATCACTACGCTTATTTACTGCGACATTGTGGATAGCTTCTGCTTCTGTAAATATATCTGATTTGCAAAATATTAGGTTATTCTCACAGTTAAATCATTCAGAGTAGGGACACCAGTTTTCAGTGTTGGAACCATTTGGGTTTTCAATTTGCAGAAGCAGTCAATAGTGCATCAGGAGTGCAGGGCTTTCTTATTATAAAGCCCAGCATAGTTTGCACACACAAGGTGTCATGGAATCACCACATAATAAAATGTTATTAGTACAATTACAATTTTAAATAGATAATAAAAAATGATATAAAACCTAAGTTTGTAATGTTGTCACATCTGAATAATATCAGATGGATAGATTGAAAGCATTACATGCTTTTATGTGAATAGGCAGAATCCTGTCGGATGGGTGCTGTTAGGGTAAACCCTTATCAGATGGGTTATAAAACCTGTTTTGATCCTTATTTTTATCCCCAGCAATGAACAACCTTCTTCCTCCTCCTCCTCTTTCATTTTCTCCTCTACTTTTCTCTTCCTCCCCCACTTTCTCTCTCCCTCTCTCCTTCCTCCCCCCCCCCCCCCATATTAAATCCCCTCTATTTTTCAGATTAAATTATTCTGATATATTTTTCTTTCTAATCAGCAAACTGACCTTCAGTTCTATACAGGTATAGGTGTTTAACTTGCAACAGGTATTTTAAATTATATATTTACATTTCTACCATAGTCCCACCTATATACATTATTCTCTAAACCATGCTCATACATTTTTCATGCCGCCATTCACTGATACTTCATACACAGTCGTGGAATATTCTGCTAATGTGGCTTACATATATAAAGTAACTGGCCTGAATACCATAACTGGTCTAGATCACCTTTGGTTTTTGACAAGGAAATGTTCATTTCATGTAGCTCAACTGATAGCTTAATAACATCCTTTTTCTTACCTATGTTAATATTTTTACTTTCAGGGTGCAAAAGGAGATCCAGGAGAATTGGGTCCCAAAGGTGAACAGGTAGGAAGATTCACTTATACATGTGAAGCTAGCCACATAATGATCTGTGCCTAGGGAGGGAGAGTGTCTATTGTGTAAATGACTTTACTACATCCTTTGTGCCATTTATTGTCAGGTTACTTCCTTATTGACAGCCTTATGAACCTGATTGCACTCTCAATGACATCACCCTATGATGTCACACTAATTTTTCCACTAGGCCAATCACTACAATACAGTATATGTAGGGAGCCTTACTGTGCTGTAAAGAGAAAGACAGCTGACATATCTACTTACCAATATCTTGAAAGGATGAATTCTGAATTTGTAAGCCATCATTGTTTAATCCGGTAACTTGAGGTGTAAAAGAAAAATATTGTCAGAACTTTTGTGTCTTCAGAAAATACTCTATTATGCAGGACTGGGTCTGGCAGTATCTAGTGGCTCCCCCAGCCACCAACATCTTCCATCTTTGTATTTTTTGGAACATAAAAAAAGACAAAGTATTAATGCCAAGTCAAGATACAGGAAATAATAATGTCTTTACATTTCTTTTTGTTTTCATAGGGCTTTATGGGGGTCTACCAGGAATGCTTGGACAAAAAGTAAGCACATGTAGACAGTTATTAATTTGTATGCAAACATCACATTTACATTGTTTTTGTTTTTATATTAGGTATATAGAAAATGGTGTATGCTTTAGGAAGTAGTAAACTGAAATGTACATAAATTGCATCAATACTAATAAATACTAATATTTAGGAGTAAGTGGTCTAGCCAGCCAAGACAAGAAGACAGTTAAACTATAGCTTAAAAACTATTTAGTCAGTGCATTGTCCCTATTGCCATATGTACAGAAATGTATTCTGGAATCCCAATTTTCACTGGACTGTGACCACATGAAAACAAAGAGTATTTAAGAGTACTGGGATTCACCTAAATAAATTGGAAGATGTGATAATATGGATCTAAATTTGTTCTTGTGGTTTAACATAAATAAGTGATGAACACAGCCAACCACAAGAGGGAATGCAAGGAATACTATATTATATTTGTAGCTCTTAGGGAATTCCATGCTTCATTTACTTTCTCATGTTACATTCATCTTTTGCTTTCTCAATGCCTGTGTTATATTCAGTGCTGGCAGTGAGCGGGTTGCAAGGTATTTGTGTTATCTGTATTATCATTCTTAATAAACCAGCTAAATATAGCACTCCTTACTGGCAGCAACTGTGTTATCTGTGATAATCATATAATTTCTAAATGAGGACCATATTAAGGAAATCTATTTTGTTCTCTTAACTTGTGGATGAACCCACTAAGGGGAAAAATGACTTAATGAACGTAATGTAGTCTGGAAGTAGAAATTAAATTGTATTTCTGTTGGCTATTAGGAAAACACGAAAAGATGAGGCTGGGTAAACCATAAGCAAAGTGCAATTTAAAAAAGAATATATGTGATATATGCCACAAATTGTATCTATTTATTTCTTTATTTTAAGTTTGTGGTGGGAAGAGTAAAATATCGCCTGAATTATCTACAGAGAAAAATGAAAGCATAGTCAAAAACAAGCAATTAGATGATAGTTTTCCCTTTTAAAGGTGTAGTGCTGCTCCCATAAGAGCTGCTGAAATACTGTCCAAGTCTTCCTCAAAAGCTTTGCCCCACAGCCAAGCACACTTTTCTTCAATGACCAGTCTAGGGGAGTTTTTTTTTTTTGCTGTTTTTATTTTTGGAGAAGTTCTATGGGGTTGAGGGAATTAGGTGGGATTATCCAAAAACAAGAACTATGTACCCTTGAGGACTTAGGTATTCTTCAGGACAAGCTATATTAAAGTCTGTGTTTGTAACAAACAGTAGACTTCAGCTTTAGTAGTAGTTAACTGTAAATCTCTTTCTTAGAGCCACAAAAGCAGAGTCCCTTTAAGTAGAAGATTAGATGGACAAAGCTCTTCAGGACACCAGCCGGTGTCCCCTTTAACCAGACCTACAGCTTACTCTGTAGCACCAGAGGGGTGGCAAAAGCACAAAGGTCTCCAAAATCTCTTAGAAGCATCTGTACTCACCCATGGACAGCTGGTTGCCTCCTTCCAACTTCCAAGCAACATCTTTCTCTGATGATACCAGACCACCCCTTCTCAGTCAGCTCTTTTTAGTTCCAGGGTCTTAGCATCCAGATCCACAAGTCGCCCACCTGAGGCCCCACAACAGTCGACATAGCATCATTGCCTGGAAGGGCAGCATGCCCCCTTTAGACTGGACTAATCCTATCCAGGAAAAGACCCAGAGCTCAGTGTGCTCACTGAATATATACAGTTATCCAGCATGCCATCAGAGCCTCTCTCTGGGGTAGGCCAGGGCTGTATCTATTCATGCTGCTACCTGCATAGCTCCACACCAATGATCCAAAACCTTCCTAAGATTTCTGGATACAGAGGGAGCTATCAGGCAGGCAGCAGCTGAACACATTGAGCAGACCTAACTAGTAGAACACAGCAACACTGATTACAGTGTGAAAGCTATGCTTTTATATAACAACAATCGCAACGACACTGGCTACAGCGTGACAACTAAATTTTCTTATCAAAACACATAGTAAACCTTATCTATCTAAACCTATCTATCTAGGGTGATACAAAAGAAAACTAACAGATTTGATTTTTTTTTCTTACTGCAGCCTCTACTTTTCATTTCCAGAATTCTAAACAAGCCATTTACATAAAGGGCACATTTTCTATTTTAGTTTTGGGTAGATCCTTGCTGAGGACCTTTACCATCACTATTGGTCCTGATCACCAATGTCACTGGGACCTTAGCTGTTACCAGAACAGGAACAGAGAAGAAATCTTCTTAAAGGGTCACCTGCTTCAGTGATAACTGTCTAAGAATGGATTTCCCCTCACTTTATAGAGATGTCCTTTAATTTCATGCTGCATAAATCTAAAACTAAAAAAAAAAGGTTTGGCTTTCAAAAATATTTGAATGTATTAGAAAATTGTGATGAAACCAGTTTATAACAGTATGTTCTACCATATACAGAACACTAGTTGCATACTCTCTGTATTTGTTTTTTTCCCGACATAACTTTTTACATGCATACATATGTGAATTATTAATTAGTTTAGTAATTAAGTTATATATTACAGATACAATTCAAACTACCATTGATCTGTTGGTTTAACACCTAATTTAATTTACAATTTTTTGAATAATATTAACAAATACAAAAGACAACTGATTTTGTATTAGTAGCTAACTGAAGCACTGGATTCTGGAAGATTGCCGTGGTCTAGTTTCCAGGATGCCATTGGTTCATTCTCTAAATAGATACGGTCTCCTAAAAAAAAAAAAAAAGTAAAAACACAATCCTTTGTAAAATACATGTATAGCACTGACTTTACGCAGTCCATTGCAGAAAATCTTCCCTCTCTTGTAGAGCTAGGGCTGCCACAAGAATTTACAACATTCAACACTTCCAGGTCCACTATTATGCCTAATTGATTGGTATCTGTCAGTACTAAGCTAGTGCTTGGAGAGGGAAGACCCTTTTTTATGGACCCTGTCATTGTAGCCCCTCTCCGCATCTGAAAGGTATAATGGCATGTCTTGAGTGCCAACTCCTAAAGCAGAACTACACTGCATCTAAGCACCACATATCAAAAATGCTATTTAATTCATTTTTAATATTTAAAGCAAACTTACCCATCCAGTCCCCTTCATTTCTGGTCGTTGCCATCTTCAGTACGAGCAGATAATTCATGTGAGAATGACTTCCTGGAATCCATCTGCCCTTCGTTCAGGCATGCAGGCAGCAGGGTGTGCTTAGCTGAAAAAAAACCCTCCTCTCCTCCTGAAGACTCCTGGAATGTATGACATCATTTGCCTAGGCAAGGGAACCAGGAAGTAACTAAAGAAATTAAAAAAAAACTGTTTAAAACAAGTAAATAGTATATACTTTACCACCTATTTACTAATAATGTTAGCAGCATAAAAGAATCAAAATAGTCAGTGTTGATTGAGAGAGTGAAGTTCCACTTTAATGTTCAGAAAGAGAGCTCATGTTTATTAAAAATTTAGTTAAAATGTAAAATCAAGCTTGGAGATAATAAATACCTAGGGTCCAATGGATGTGAAGCTGGTGGATTATACTGTAGAAGTATACTAGGCTACTTGTTGGTACAGATTTTGTGAAATGTTCCCAATTCTATTTTCAAGATAATATAAATATAAATATATATATATATATATATATATATATATATATATACACATACACACAGTATGTGTGCACATCTGATCGTGACACCTTTGTGAACGGGCAGCTCTACTAGCTTATGATACACAAACCTTTTTTTTTCTTTTAGGAAATCCTATACACACTGAAATCTGAGAAAAAAATTATGTGATAATATAGATTATTCGTTTTCATAATAGGTTGATTATATTGCACACACTAATACAAAATTAGCTTATTAATTATTATTTACTCCATTGCAAGGGAGAAATGGGCCCAAAAGGAGAGCCGGGGATTCCTGGAAATAGAGGGCCTACTGGGAGACCTGGCAAACGAGGAAAACAGGTACTGTCAGCTCCAATTAGTTGTTTTCTGTTGGTTAATCTTTCTTTCTATCTATAAAACCAAATATATTTGTGCGAATGTACTTTGGCAAAACAATTGGCAGTTTTAATCCAATGTTTTAATTAATAAATCTTGACAGCAGTGTCTAAGTGGACATACGTTGTACAATAAATTGACAAAATCTTTAGCTTAATACCACCTTAAAAGCCAGACTTATCTATTTCTTAACTCCTCTGTGCAGCCACAGATACTATCATGAACTGCCTTACATTCTATGGGATACAAACATGTGTAGCTGCCACATCCAATAGATGACTCAGTTGAGAAGAAGATAATGGTTGGTCCTGGTGGTATAGTGATTGCAGGAACAGCAAACCGATATTCTCTGTAGTATGAGCACTGTGAATTTTAATGCTGTTCACAATGCAAGGCTGCTCAGTTCCTTCGTTTTTATGTTATTCACTGAGGACTGTATTATTTATATCAAATGTACAGCAATTTTGCTGCTAAAATGAAAACTATTCCACTTTTAGAACACCCATGACTGTTTCCATCCAGTTTGTACTATTATGGATAGTTCTTAGTGCCATTTTAGGCAAATTACCTATGCATTATAATGTTCTTACTTTCTACGGATCAACTAGGTATTTGAGGGATAAAGGATTGAACTCAATGGTCAAAATTAACTGCTTGCTTGCTATACTACAAACATCAATTCAAATTAGCATAGTTCATTTTGCTATGATATTTTCCATTGTCTTGTTATATTTCTCCAAAATGTATTCCAAGCTGTTACATATGTCAGAGTATAATATTAAGCCAAAGCTTACACCAAGCTGGTGAATAGAACTCATGACATAATTGTGTCTTCTTCTATTCAAAGAATAACAGTATAATTTGACCAATATGGTATTCCTTCTTCGACAACAAGTGTGTGACTTCCTTAAAGTAGCCTGCATCAGATTTTAAATGGAATGTACTATATTTGACCACTAGATGAAGCTAAGTATTATAGGACATTTCTATGATACTTGACTCTATCTAGTTGCCAAATGCTGTATTTTCCATTTTAAATCAATGAAGTACATTCAAACAGAACAGGATATAGCCTATTTATATAGTCTGTTTACATTTGTGTTTTTGCCTCATTTGCACACAAATGTTCAAGCAACTGGGTTATGTAAATTCTTTATAAGTCAACCCCATAGTATGTGTTGCCTAGGTTTGTATGTTTGTAATAGTATATGTGTTATTCTTTAAGGTGTGCTGCACAAACTAGAATACACATTTATATATTAGTTACACAGTAGCAGTGTTTTTTTTCATTTATTTGAAGGTTATATTTTCAAACCTAACATTATATATGCAGCTGAGAAAAATGCTAACAAAACAGGAGGTTTCTGGAAGAGTTTTGGGGGAAGTTGATAGTTTAGCCCAATTTGAAATTCTTTCAAATTGTTTGACTATTGAAAACTGGAAGGTTTTGGCTGCATATTAAAGGGATATGGAGACAGTATTCTAAATATTATAAAAGAACCCTGAATTAATATTGATGAATACTGTCTGTTAAGACAAACCTGGACCAAAGAAACTGTGATTTACTCAGTTTCATGCATGCAGGTAGGAGCCCACTTCAGTTTTTTTAATGTAAGCCTGTAAAACCATACTGCAGTTCACCAGTCCTTATCTGTGGTGGCTGCATTAGCTTATTAATTTTAGGCTTTTTTTCCTTTATATACCTGATAGTCTTGTGAACAACACTTGTCTGTCTCTTTGTGGCCATGCTTACTTTCCACTGTATCTGTGGAGGGAGCATTATATTTTTCAACTGGTACAAAAGTTCTTAGCCTGAAAAAGAGTAAAAAAAAAATGCAGCCACTACATTTAAGGACTGGTAAACTGCAAAATATAACTTTCTTGTTTTTGCTTAGATATGATTTAAGCTGATCATTCAAGAGGGGCTCTGAGCAATCCTCTCTTTAGCTTATCTACTATTCATTCTTTGGAAACAATTTCTCCAACACTGGGTCTATGGAGTTATTCCAGGTTAGCTATAGGTACATGGGAATGTGAAGACTGCCAAAGCCACTCCTGACTAGACTACGGTAGGATAATAAAACCATACAAGCTGCATTCTAGAAGCATTCACAGGGTTTCATTTATTGTTCTGCAGGATACAATGGAAAGTACAGTTGGGCAATGTTCTTGTACAGGTGCTTTCCAACGTTCTTTACAAAACAGTAAATGACTTCCATTCAGACTGTTCTGGTGGAGCTCAGCCAATCTACAGTAGCTCATGTACACCTACTCTCAATAAGACAGTATAGGATTTTGTACTGTATAACCGTCACCCCCACCTGTTTCCTTAGGTAGTTGTCATGCAATTTTTGTTGTGTCTCCATCATAATGTATATTTCTGCACTCGGTCACAAGTAACTCATTCAGAGAGTTTAATCAAAGGGTACACATTTTTCTTTCATTGCTTTTAAAAAACCTTCTTTTGGTACTAACATATAAGGCTACTAAGTCAATGTTTGCCAGTGGTTGAGTCTCTCTGGAGTGTAATATGATTCATTTGATCCACAAAAATATATGTATATATATCATGAACTCTGCAACATTCTCTGCTAATGATACCAACTAAAGATGAAGATGTCAAGTTTATCTAAATACAGTCAGGTCCATAAATATTGGGACATCTACACAATTCTAAAATTTTTGGCTTTATACACCACCACAATAGATTTTAAATGAAACGAACAAGATGTGCTTTAACTGCAGACTGTCAGCTTTAATTTGAGGGTATTTACATCCAAATCAATTGAACGGTGTAGGAATTACAACAGTTTGCATATGTGCCTCCCACTTGTTAAGGGACCAAAAGTAATGGGACAGAATAATAATCATAAATCAAAACTTTCACTTTTTAATACTTGGTTGCAAATCCTTTGCAGTCAATTACAGCCTGAAGTCTGGAATGCATAGACATCACCAGACGCTGGGTTTCATCCCTGGTGATGCTCTGCCAGGCTTTGATTAGCTCTACTGCAACTGTCTTCAGTTCCTGCTTGTTCTTGGGGCATTTTCCCTTCAGTTTTGTCTTCAGCAAGTGAAATGCATGCTCAAGCGGATTCAGGTCAGGTGATTGACTTGGCCATTGCATAACATTCCACTTCTTTCCCTTAAAAAACTCTTTGGTTGCTTTTGCAGTCTGCTTTGGGTCATTGTCCATCTGCACTGTGAAGCGGCGTGCAATGAGTTCTGAAGCATTTGGCTGAATATGAGCAGATAATATTGCCCGAAACGCTTCAGAATTCATCCTGCTGCTTTTGTCAGCAGTCACATCATCAATAAATACAAGAGAACCAGCTCCATTGGCAGCCATACATGCCCACGCCATGACACTACCACCATCGTGCTTCACTGATGAGGTGGTATGCTTAGGATCATGAGCAATTCCTTTCCTTCTCCATAGTATTCTCTTCCCATCACTCTGGTACAAGTTGATCTTGGTCTCATCTGTCCATAGGATGTTGTTCCAGAACTGTGAAGGCTTTTTTAGATGTCGTTTGGCAAACTGTAATCTGTCCTTCCTGTTTTTGTGTTTTTGAGGCTCACCAATGGTTTACATCTTGTAGTGAACCCTCTGTATTCACTCTGGTGAAGTCTTCTCTTGATTGTTGACTTTGACACACATACACCTACCTCCTGGAGAGTGTTTTTGATCTGGCCAACTGTTGTGAAGGGTGTTTTCTTCACCAGGGAAAGAATTCTTCGGTCATCCACCACAGTTGTTTTCCGTGGTCTTCCGGGTCTTTTGGTGTTGCTGAGCTCACCGGTGCTTTCCTTCTTTTTAAGAATGTTCCAAACAGTTCTTTTGGCCACAGTAGATGTTTTTGATATCTCTCTGATGGGTTTGTTTTGTTTTTTTCAGCCTAATGATGGCTTGCTTCACTGATAGTGACAGCTCTTTGGATATTATCTTGAGAGTTGACAGCAACAGATTCCAAATGCAAATAGCACACTTGAAATGAACTCTGGACCTTTTATCTGCTCATTGTAATTGGGATAATGAGGGAATAACACACACCTTGCCGTGGAACAGCTGAGAGGCCAATTGTCCCATTACTTTTGGTCCCTTAATAAGTGGGAGGCACATATGCAAACTGTTGTAATTCCTACACCGTTCATCTGATTTGGATGTAAATACCCTCAAATTAAAGCTGACAGTCTGCAGTTAAAGCACATCTTGTTTGTTTCATTTCAAATCCATTGTGGTGGTGTATAGAGCCAAAAATGTTAGAATTGTGTCGATGTCCCAATATTTATGGACCTGACTGTATATGTTGTCTGTGTTAATTCAGCACAAAATACTGTGTGATGTTATAGGTTCAGGGTAGTATTTTAAGTTCATGCTTCCTTTGGTATTTTCATCCTATAACTTAGCAGTCCACAAAAACTTCTACCTGCCCATGTTAGTTGAGTTAAGTACATTAGACTTGACTAATACAAGTTAGTCGAGTACAATAATCCAAACAGAAAAGAACAAATTAAAACAGTTATACAGTAGTAAGCCAGTTTTTATGTTCCCCCTATGAGCTGACCTGTAATTTATGTTAAAAGTCACTATTATAGGTATTAGTTTAGCATAAATAGAGCAACCAAGGTAAAATGAAAAGAATTTCAGATCTGGCTGTTTCGAGTACATATACATAAAAAAATCAGCTGAGGCTGTAATATTGTGGATAGCTGCTGTCTATGACTAACGAAAGGCCATCTGGTAAGGAAACTAAGTCCCAGTATACATGCTAGTATATACCAAAGGTGTATAAATATCACTCCTAAATCTGCTGTAAATCAAGAAGGTGCTACATCCTACAACCTATTTTAGAAATTTCCTCCCTCAAAAGCTGTCATGGTACACATTGGTACCAATAACAAAGTTAGAGGAAGGTGCAGCATCCTAAAAAATTATTTCAGGGACTTAGGAGCTATATTGA